AGATCAACCGAGTGTTAGTGAACGAAATTACCTCCTCACTAAACAACAATTTATCTTACAAAGTACACTTCTTATCTGTAGGCAATAGGAAATAAAATATGTCATCTTTTTTCAGAACCATGTCTAAGGATACAGACAAAGCATCATTATTCTCCATCTTACGGTCTAACGACGTTGCGGCACTGAATGAATGGCTTAATACGTCAGGAATGAACTCTAAAACTGTGTACGAACTATTAGGAGGGGTTTACGAGGAACTTCATCTAAGGAATTTTCCCCTTTCACCAGAGACGAGGTTTGAAGTTGAATGGAAACTAGTAGAATTACAATTTAGTCAAGGTTCTTGCAAATCTGAGACTAGCGACTTTAAAAATTTTAAATCCACCAAGATTCATTTGGACATAACATGTCAGCACATCGAACAATTTCTGGGCAAATACCAACAACTTACTCCAAAAATAGATTTAGCCTTTGTTGTTGATGCCAAATTTGTAGCACTGCATCTGTCTGTACTTAAAAATCGACTACCTTTCTCGTACAAGAAACTGCCCTGGCAAGAGATGGAATTTCTATTAGTAATCTTCATATTAGTAATTACCAAGACTTATGAACTGGACGTTACTTATGGATTGTTAGTGGATTATGCTTTAGTAAGGAAACAACTTGAACATTTCTTGAACGAGTTAAAAGAACTTCAAATTTGGTTTACACGGGAAGATGCTTTGAGCAATTCAAAATCGGACAAGGAGCAGCTCAACGCAATTAATGAGGAATTAAAAAAATTAAATGTTAAAGGTCTAACAGGCAGAAAAGGTAATATGCAGGTAATTCTTAAGAATTCGCCCCAATTTGATGACCTCTACAGTCATTTCAATGTAGTAAGGGATATTTATTCGTTAAATTGCATACAACATTACCTAGATATATCCTCAGCTGTTGATCTCAAGCAGGATTTTCTAATTGGGTCGCTGGTAATTCAAAGAGCTTTTCAGGTCATCGGAGAATACCTAAAAGATGAAGCGGACTCTCCAAATAGCTCTTCTGATCTCTATTTTATTCTCGTAAAACTTGTTTCTAAAAATCTACGCAAGACAATGCAAGATCTGAGAAATACTTTATCACATTCCCATGGCCTAAACAAACGGATAGAGATTGAAGAATTTAAACATAGGGATGCATTTTCGAACATTCAGTTGGAATTAAAAGGAATAAGCAGGGAAATTGTTCGAGTGCTGTACCAAAGAAAGACCGACGGATTGATCATGTTCTTGCGAAAACTGGATTCTGATATAACTATGGAAAAAGTGCAAGATTTGGATTCTCGAATAGATATTAGCAAGATCGGCAAACTGAAAGTAAGTGAAATCCTTAACTTAGATCACATAAAATCTTGGCTTACTAATTTTTGGCAAGAAGTGAAAGATCACGTACCGGATCCATCGCACATTGCTGAGGTGTTTCAGATACTTCGTAAGGCTGAATCCGAGATTCAAGAAACAGCTACTTCATACCATTCTACTCTTAAACATATTAAACATATGTTGTCATTAAAAGATATAAACATCATCAAAAATATAGGCAGGACTTATTTGGGTAACTTGCAAAATAAAGAACTCTCCGGAATTTTCGAGGAAATGTTTGGTTTGCTTCATCAAATTTATTTGACTTATAAAACAAATAGAGGATTTAATGTCAAGGACACAAAAACCGCCGACAAAAAGCTTATTAATACAACAAAGATTATGCTAGTTATTCATGAGAGTCTAAAATGGAACTTGCACAAGATATCATGGATTGAAAATATTCACAAAGAATTGGAGGTTGAAAAAGATCATTTCTTTAAAGATATAGTAGATACCTGGTTCAAGCAAATAAAAAATGAGCTAAATGCTAAGGGAAGCAACGGAGGAGATATTTTTTATGACGAAATATTAAAGCAAAAAAGGATGCACTATCTAAGAACAACACTTTTAAGTAATATGAATAATAAAGAATTTTTAAAAATTTTAAATGAAGAAGATGAAAAAGAACCTATGAGTTTAGATATGAAGAAAATGATCACAAAATTTTACAACAAAAAGAAGTCGGCTGATTTGAAACGGCGAATAGAGCAAATTCCGAACTACTATGGGTCGTTGATTAAAAATCTTGTTGATCCAAAAGTAAATAACCTGCGTGTACACATTGAATATGTGCACAGCTTCCTCTCAAAAATTCAACTTAAAAACTACACAGTTAATTCAGAAAACTCAATTATTGACAGTGCTAAATCTTTAAGCCAGAACATAATCATTAATGACTTGAAAAGTAATTACACCAAAAGATTGCTTGCGCTCAAAAACATTCACACGCAGATCAGTTCATTCAAACTTCAGGAAGTTAGTGAAACTTTGGTGGTGGCATTAGAGATGTTACTCCTTGATTTAACAGAATGTTTAAACAAAATTGGTTGCTTGGTAGATAATGCAACATTTCTGGTGGAACAATTACCTATTCTCGGGGGAAAGCAGTTAAGGAATCATTTGGCTCACGGAAATATTACGACCCACATTTTGCCTTACAATATCCGTATACCATTATTTGTATATGCTACATATCTCATGGAAATACCTGTAGATAAATTGATATCGTTAGATACAGTGTGGTCGTTGGGACTGAACTGCGATTGGTTCAATGAAAGCATGGAAAAATATATTGGCCGATGTCAAAATATTGTTGAACAACAAGATCATTTATTTGGCTCAATAGAAAGAAGTTGTAATGATGTAGCAATTGAGTTAATGAAATCTGGTGCCGAAACTTATGCTGCCGATATGAATTTGAATACAGGCTTGGACATTGCAATACTGCATGGAAATCAACGTTTTTTTACTTATATTGTGTCAAATAATCTTAGGATTGAAGACATAGTTCAACATGTCAATCCAAGAAATATTGTGAGGAATTTTGAGGTTTTTAGGTATTTATTGCAACATTCTTATATAACAGCATCTTCAGCTTTTGAACATAATAAAACCCTTCTTCATTTGGCCGCTGAAGTAGGACAACGCGATACACTAGAATATCTCATAGACAATAATTTAGTAAATGTAAAAAGCAAAACAACTTTTCAAGAAACTGCCTTTCACTTGGCATCAAAGAATGGGTACATTGATATCTTTCAAATTCTGACTCATTGGGATTTCGATATTGATGAAAAAACGTTGCCCAATGGTTCCACAGCATTACATCTCGCAATCGAAAACGGTCACTATGATATTGTTGTCGAATTGGTTAAAAGAAATGCCGATTGTTTACAAAAAACCGCTGACGATTTCACTCCATTGCAATTGGCAATACGTGCAGGATACGAAGATATAGTTGCTTTAATTTTCAACACCTCTAAGCAAAATATGAAGGAAGAAGAAACCCTTGATGCTCTGATGCTTGCTTCAAAGTATGGCTTAAAAGACGCAGTTCAAATCCTGCTTAACACCGGCATAGATGTGAATTCGAAAAATGACGACGGCATAACAGCATTATGGACGGCTGCCGCATTTGGACAAGCTCATATAACAAAATGGCTGCTAAGTCAACGTGCAGACGTTAATTTACAGAATGGTGTTTGTAGTACGGCTTTACATGTGGCAAGTCGATATGGCCATCTAGCTGTGGTTGATTGCTTGATCAGTTTCAACGCTGATGTAAATGCTTGCAATAAAGGCAATCACACGCCTCTACATTTTGCATTTGAAAACAATAATATAGACATAATAGAAAAGTTAGTGGCATGTCCAACCATAATCGTAAACCCTTTCAGTATAGAAGGAATGACCCCATATCATGTCGCTGCAGAAATTCAAAATCCGGGATCACTAAAATGGTATATAGAAAAGTTTCCGGAGTACATAGATATTTGCACCCAAGGTAAAAAGGCAACTGCCTTACATTTGGCTGCAGGTAAAGGACTTTTAGCTTCAGTTCAATTATTACTAGGTCATAATGCAAATGTGAATTCGCTGACAGCTGAAAATGCAACACCACTACATTGGGCTATCCAACGACATGGTTATAAAGAAATTGTGGAGGAGCTGATCGCAAATAATGCAGATCCAAATTCAAAAAATGTAGATGGAGCCACTCCATTACATGTGGCAGTACTTAACCAGAATGAAGATATCTTCCAGATTTTGCTGAATCACCGTGCGGATGTGTCATTGTGCGATAATACGAAATTTACTCCTTTGCACACAGCTTGTATGAATTCAAGTGTATTTATTGTAAAAGAGTTAATTCTCAAAGTCCCTAATGTTAATATCTTGGACGACAATAACTCCACCCCGTTGCACCATGCAGCATCCAAAGGATTTTTAGAAGCTGTACGATTGTTGTTAGAAAATGACGCTGATTCCAACCATGTAAATTTACAAAATAATTCTGCCTTGCATTTGGCAGCTTTCAATGGATATCAGAATATTGTTCAGTTGCTGGTTGCACATTCAGCAGAGATCAATGCTCGTAATAGTTTGAATCAAACACCCATTCTGATGGCAATTGAGAAACTTCACCAAGATGTTGTTATGTTTTTATATAAGGAAGGGGCCGACATTAGTCAGAATGCTGATGACTATAAACTAAACGGAACCTCTATTTTAATCAGCGCACTTCAAAAGAAAAGTGAAATCATAGCTAAATTGATTCTTGAAATTCCTAACATAGCAATAGACGTTAATGCTACGACTGCATCAGGTGATACGGCTTTACATTTAGCATGCAGTAACGGATTCACCGACTGTGTTGAAAAGTTATTGAGTTTTAATATCGACATTAACGGAAAGACGAAAAACGGTTTAACCCCGTTACACTACGCCGCTTATAGGGGCTATGACAGTATTGTGAAGAAACTTGTCTTGAAAGGTGCTCGAGTGGATGAAATGGCCAATATCGCATACCCAACAGCTTTTAGTTGCGCTGTGGCAAACGGTAATACAAAAGTAGTTGAATTTCTATTAGAACATCAACCTGATGTAAATGTGCAATGTCATCGCTCCACAACCCCCTGCAAGTTGCTATTCTAAGTGGATTTCCAGAAATAGGAAAACTCCTTTTAAAATGCGACCGAACTGTCGTTAGCACAGCAACTGATGACAATAGTAACGTATTGCATTTTATTGCCTCAAAGGGTTACATGGACGTTCTGAATTTGTTACTCAATTACAATATTGATAGCATCATTAACGAAGCCTCTACAACCACCGGCGAAACACCCTTGCACTGCGCTGTAAAAACAGGCCAGAAAGAAATTGTAAGCATTCTTCTGGAAAATGGTGCCGACAGCTCACTGAAGGATAAGAAGGGACTAACAGCCAAAGATATTGCCATACTTTCGGAATTTCAAGAAGTTGCACAATTGTTTTAATTTGTATGTTTGTTAATAAATTAATATTATTTAGTAAATATATATATAGTTTATTTTTTTATCATGAAATTTATTACGGATTACGGATAGCAATCAATTGTTAATAGTCCAGTCAGTTTAGACTTTAAAAGGCCTGCTTCGGACCCTTACTAGATAAGGTTGGATTGGAAGTTGTTCGGAAGAATGTTGGGACTTGAAGATAGTTGAGCGCGATTTCCGGCTGCAAAACTTTGTTTAAATAATTAAAGAAAGTGCGAAAAACGGTTTTTAGCGCATAACTTTTGAACCGATGATGCTATTAAAACAAAGTGTAATACTTTTTTTCAAGTCTTAAAAATACCTTCAACATAAGATTTAACTAAAACGCAAACTAAATTAAAATCCGTTTATTTGTTTACTCCAAAAACGAAAAAACAATGCCGATTTTTGCGTTTTTTTTCAAATTTCGTACAATAAATTTAGTTTAATACGACGTGTAACGTGCATTTCGATTAAAGCATCAGTCGAAAATTTGTGAAATATTGGTGTGCAGTCATTTGATGTAATTAGTGCAAACGTCGCCGTAAAGGGCCACTCTGAAACAACGCATTTTAAGGTAAATTTCAAATTCTTAATGCATTGATAATAGATTTCGATTTAAATTGAACACGTTGAAGTAACGTAATGGGCATATTTATGCTTATTTCATTCAGATGCCTAGTGGGGCAGTTCCGGATATTTCATTCATAAGATGGTACGCACATACAAAAGAAAGAAATGACAAGACGAAGCTTTGTAGGACGATATGAAGAAGGCTGTAGCTGATGTTTTGCAAGGTCGATCGTCGTCGATCTATACGTACTGCAGCAAATGTACTTCTTTATTTATTCTTAATTTATTATTTTTAACCCTATTGGGTTAAGAAAAAAAACACTTAGACTATAAAGGGGCAATAATTCAAGCAAACGAAATCGAAGAAACAATCGGAATAAATTAGCTACCAGGCAAGTTTTTATACAAATGATAGAAGGAATTAGAGCATTATCTAAAGCAATCTTCAAAACTATTTTATGGGCTCACATACGAAGGCACTCAAAATCTGACGTTTCACTATGCCGTACGCTTAGACAATAATTATCTCTGTCTTGGAATAAAAATAAAATGGCCGGGATGCACTCATTTATGCGGCGACATTGCACTCTGTCGCACAGAAAACACCAAAATACTAGCATCGCTAGAGCTTCAGCCTTCAATCAAGCAAACGTTGATTAATTTTTAACAATTACTCAGAACCTCAATCACGATATAACGTTCAGCCAAATCATATTTATAATGTCGATAAAACTGGGATTCAGACAATATCTCAAGCTCCCAAAGTTAACGCGGAAAAAGGGTCAAAAGGAGTAGGTCAGTCGGCATCAACAGAAAGAGGTAGTTTAGTCACAATCTGTGGAATAATATCCGCTCCCGACAATACCATTCCTCAGGTATACATTTTTCCCAGAGTGAGAATCAAGGAGCAGTTTATGTATGGAGCTGTAACAGGAACAATTGTATTTGCAGGTAATATATTTGCTAAAGTATTGCAACACATCCTACTATAACATTTTTTGAAGGCCTTTGTACACTTTATAAGTGGTATAGACTTTAGCTTAAATTATTCATAACTTTTTGTTCAATGTTCATTCCTATTTCTTATTAAAAAAAGCTTTTGCCAAATAAGCTTTTTTTGAGACGTCGGAGCGACTTCTCTGAGGGTTTATTTTATTCGTAAAGAGTTATACTATAACTTAATGATGGGTAAATTGTTTAAAGATTAAGTTGAAAATCCGGAATTTCACACGTACGCCGTTGACGATGTTTTCATAAAGGTCGTTGATAAACAATTCCAGCCACCAAGTTTCAGCCGCAGGACAGCTTCTAAAGGTGTGATAAACGGTTATTTTTCTGTAACAGGTTACAACGTTCCAATTGCACGTTGGTAATAGGTTTCAAAAGGCGGTTCCAAAAGGAACATGCTACTTTTTAAATTTGCCATTAAAAATGCGCAATGAGGAGTATAGTAGAAATAGTGACGATATGTAATGGCTCAGTTGATTTAAAAAAATAATTCTTAACATCGGTAAACTTAAAATAAAATATTCTAAAATCAAAACAAAACATGGGTCAGAAGCAACTACTTAAAGAAAAAAACTGATGATGAGCTAGAGTGATTAAATAAAATATACGGTTTATATGCGCAAATGTTTAAAAGTGCTGTTTACACGCTCAAGCCATCTGAAAGATTTGGCTTGTACAAGCCCGATCGCTCAAGCAAATCGTTACGTGCAAACGCAGATCTGAAGTTTGCGCAAACCGAAAAATTTGGCTTGAGTAAAATATATCTTGACAGAAAATTCACTTCTGATGGGATCGTTGGCTTCAGCGTGTAAACGATGTTCAAGCTACGTTTATGGGTTTTGAATGAAATATTGTTACCATGTGCGRRATWTCTCTGTTGTTTTATCGTTTAAAGCACTTATTGCMTAATATTACAGYTGCATTTCAGATATTATCAAACTTTTTACTGATTTAAATAATTGTTYGGATTAACGGATAATTTTGTTCAGAACGCCTTTRTTATATACCTATATTTATCATAAGCTTGAATTTCAGTACATTCGTTCGCAATTTTCTCACATGACAGCTGTAGCCTGTGCCATTTTAACTCTCAGGATGAAGAGAAAAACGAAGCCAAAGATTTAAATTAGGAAAAGAAATGCAGACAAAAGTACGGCGTCGCTACGCCGGTTCAATCTATTGTACCACCAGTGGACAAGTGTTCTGCAGACGCCACGTCTAAGGCTAGTACCAATACCGATGCAAAAAATGTTACCTAATTTTTACTAAAATTTTAGTCTGTATTTAGACACAAGTGCTCAAGCTTTACATTAAATTTGTGTGAAACGCTTTCTCGTATCATATGCAAAACGATGGCTATTGAGATACAACAAATTTGTGATTTTATTGATTCCTACAAATCGTTTACTTTTCTGCGGAAAGTCAATAATAAAATTATACAGACCGCATACCATTTCTTTCAGTTTTCAATTTCATCTTTTTCTTTATAACACACATTGCAGCCGTAGCAAGAATTAATTATTTGCCTAAATGTTCCATCTTGTTGGCAACAATTCAATTTTGGGTGTTCCTCACTTCACATCTAGGTGATCTGGGTAAAACGAACTGAACGTGTAAACTCCAGATTTTTGTTCAGTTTATTTGCTCAGATCTGGCTTACGTAAGCCAGACGGTTCAGATGGCTTGAGCGTGTAAATGGGCTTTAAAAGCAAAGCTGGCAGCAAAGCAAATTGAATAAATATCTGCCAAAATTCGCATTAAGTTTCAAATTTTTAGATCTTATTGTCAATTTTTTTACATATTATTTTATAAAATTATTTAAGAATGTTGGTGCTATTGAGGACAGGGAGGTATATGTTTCTTTGATTTGTTTGAAGTTTTAGCGTGTATTTAAGTAACCGTGTATGGCTTAAATTAAATAAATATGAGGCAACACAATTAGCTTGAGTTAATAAAATGTATGTACTTTCCTTTCGGTTACGTTTTTTTGTTGATGGTTTCTTTTGATAAAGTTCTTGATGCATCAGTTAAATTTTGTGCCAATTATCGAATACATGTTGATAAATATGTGATCTGTAAAATTATCTGATGTTAAAATCTTATTATTATGTTAGTGTTATTTAATTTATGTATGTTTTTAAGAGTCCTAATACAATTCCAATTCCTAAGTTTTGTATATTTGCAAGGAATTTCGTATTCGTACTTTTTGTATTTTAAATTTGTTCATAAAGTTTTGTTGTTGAAGTTTTGCTTCTAATTGCACTTTCTAGTTCTATAGTTCAAAGGTCTAATATTGGATTTGTTATTTACTTGTTACTTCATTAATTTTATCTGAAAGCCCGGGATTGAGTAAAATAAAAATATTTTCAGCAGGCTTATTATTATTTTCTTTCAGTTATGGATTCGCAATGATATTCAAACACTTTTCCATTACAGAATGTTGACAATTATTAACAGTTCAAAACTTTTCTTCTGAATTCTTTGGTAAAATGAGATTAAATACAAATTATTTTTGTTTCAACACAAAAGCTTCTTACAATAATTTTTTTATGAATATCGGGTGATTTGAGTTTAAATTCAATTACAGATTGTTAAATTGTCTATTTTTTTCTTAGGAAAGGGAATTTAGTAGTTTTGATCTTTTACAATATGGAAGATAATTGTTAGGTTTTTATTATTAAGCCATAAGAAAAATATTTTTTTGTTTCCTTTGGGTGTAAATTGAAAACATGTTTCCAATCATTGACTTGCAATTATTAATAAGATTCCCTAACTAATAGGATTTCTTTTCAAATATTTCATAAATTTGCGAAAATTTTACCTACTTTTATTCGTTAACGTTTTTTGGCCACGTTGAAGCAGCTCGACTCTTAAAATTAAGCGGAAAACCAACCATAGTTAAACCTAAGCAATATTTATCGAAGGGAAATTGGTTGATAGATCGGGTATATCTGGAATTATATTGCCATTGCCATGTGCATGACTTTTCGTAAGATTTATTGGGCTGTTTGCACGATACTTTTGAACATTTCACGTAGATTTACTTCTTACTTGAATATCCTACAAATTCGTTTCTCGACTGTTTGTCTTGTTTGAGGAGACCGAAGGGATCAAATACGAACTTCAGTTTTAGTACTTTCGTAGTAAATTTGGCTCATATCTATTCGCTTTAAATTTCGATCTGATGGATTTGCCGAATGTGGCTTTGATAGCTACTAAGTTTCTTTCTTCCAAACTACGTTATGTATATGTCATATCTATAATTTATTTATACATTTATTGTATTAGCAGATACTAAATTGCCCTGATTAAACATTACATGTTTTTTTTCAGTACTCATTCTTGCATTTATCGCAGAAGTTTTGTACTATGTTCTCCCCCAATGTATTAAATCAAAACACCTCTAGACACTTGTACAATCAGCTATT